CAGAATCAGGGTGTGAGTTAAGTTAATATGTTATTAAATGGATAAAGCCTAAAACTAAACATACATACATTGTCACACAAAATGACTCTACATAGCTGACACACAAGTCAAGCCATTTTTATCTGGAATCTGAGGAAGTGCATGCAGCTGTCAACGGTAACTGGCACTCTGCCACATACAGATGACCCCCCCCCCCACACACACACACACACACACACTGACACAAATATAATTACATTTTAGATTCCTTTAGTCACAATAAAGCCCTTCCATTTTACTAATAACAACATGGTGAAATAAGATTTATTATTCTTTAATGAATTAAAAACAAAACTTTAAATCAATCAAAATTTTACTTGAGTAAAACATTTCACACAACATGCATTTATGTGTGAGAAACATTTCAATTTTGTTTCTGTTTGGAGTTAATTTTACCCCTTAACATGATGTTTGGTAGTTTATAATCAGCTCCTTGTGTGAGAAATGCTTTTCTATCCCATGTTAATCAAGACCTAAAGCCTTCTGACAAATGTAGTAGCAAAAAAACATGTAAATATGAATAGCATGAGATGGAAATGCTCAAGTTCTTCAAAATGAAATACAGCCATCGTAAGAACCTGAGCTTTTTTTTGTAAGAAAATCACTTAAAGTATTTGTTCTGTAAGGGGAAGTTTAGTCTGGGCTAAAAATAAAGCTTTGGTCTCTGCGTTGATCCTTTAATACACGGGAAGTTGTTGTTTTGATAGAAGAGTGCTGGGCTTCATCTGGTTTATAGTCTGCTGTTACAATTAGGTCACATTTTCTTGTACCAGCTTGTGGTGATCTGGATTGCTGATTTTCTGTGTCAGGGGGTGGGGGATACTGCACACTTGAACAGCTATGCAAAGTGGTATTTAAGTTATTTTCTAGTGCGATACAAACTAGCGGATGTTTGTTTACAGGTTTTACAGATACTGGACTGGATTTTTTTCTTTTTTGAAAGCATATTATGTTAGTTCACTTTATGGACTTTATGTTTTGTTTTGTATCCAGTGTGAATCATGTAAATAGACATCATCATCACTTTAAATAATAATAAATAAATAATATAATTAATATACTTAATATAATACCCTTTGCATTGCTATTCAAGCGTGTAGTAGTTTGAGATACAAAGTCAGCGGTCCAACAGTCGCTCACTCAGGATGACAGTATGTTACGAGACATGCAAATGACTGGTGAAGTGGTAAAATGAATCCATCTGCATGTCTATTTCCAGTCAGTGACAAATTCCTCTATAGAAACCAACTTAACCAGAAAAAGCAGAACGACAGCCAAGATCTTTAAATTCTAAATGTTGGTTTTCAATAAAGCAGAACTTAACTTAAGGCTTTTGGTTTAAGGTGCATGCCATTAACTTAGATGCAGCACTGTATGCTAAATCTAGGCCACAAATACAATTACATTTACAATAAGGATTCAGAATAATTACTTACTGCTTCATAAGCAATCTGGCCTGGTCTGTTGTTCACTACACCACTTCTCTAAGGTGTGGACTTGTCTAAGTCACATGACTTGGACTCATGTCTGATTTGAATGTCAATTTTGATAGACTCGACTTGACAAAATCAAAAAACGACTTGCAACTCGACTTAGAGTGACTTGTGACTTGGATTTGTGAGTATTGACTTGAATATACTTGATACCTTCCTACATTTAACCATATAAACTAGTGACTCATATAAACTACTTCTTATCAAGTGTGCCCAAACGGCCTGTGATGGATCATAACACCCTCTGAAGAGCCTGTTGGGTCTGTTGTGCTACTGAAACAGGTTGAAAAAAAAAAAAGGTTGTCAAGACAAGTTACCGCTAAGTTGCTTTTAGATGCAGATCTTTTTATAATAGTGTACATGCAGTCGGCGGTTGCAGCGGGGGAGTGAGGGAGTTTTTGTGGGTGGGGAGTATTTGTTTTACAAAGCAGTCAAAAGCTTTAAGTTGATAAGGCAGTGGGGGAGCACACTGCTGTTCAAAGACCCACAGCAGGCTCTTCTCTTGTGTTTTTCAAATGTCAGGACTTTCATTTTGTAATACATTAAACCATATGGTACAAGTTAACATTTTATTTCCAAGAGAAGATGAAGATAAAGATGATTCAGTTGTAGGGTTATCTTTGTATTGCTCATAGCTTGTGTAGGCTTTTTTCCCCATTGTGTTAATATGTGGAGATCGCAATGATGAAACAATATCCTCCCTTTTTGTGCCTTCTGCAAAGCTTCAATCATTCCCCAATTCAAGTTGTTTTTTCTTGCAGTAAGATGTGTCCGAGCTCTAGTGTACTCCACTTTTTGCCGCTGTGGCATCTGCCACAGCCTCAGTGGTTTGTGTATGGACTGTGGTTATGTGGGGGTTATACCAGTATGTCTTGCTTGTTGTTTGTGCACACAAGCACAACTTGTGTGCTGCTTCTGTTTCCAAGGTGAACAAGAGAGAAGGAGCCAAAAGCCCTTTGAGTCGCTGGCTGTGAATGTCCTTTTTGCCAAGTTAGACATTTGTACAGCAGATTTCCTTTGGGCTGCTCATTTTCTTCTTTGTTACAGTGATCAAACACAATGTTATTTCTTCAAGTTATGAAAGTCATCCTGATAAAATCCAAGCTCACTAATTAACACAACCTGCATATGAAAATAATTTTTTTTAAATCGACACTTAAATTACTCTGTTATATCAAAGAGGTTACTCAGTTACAAACCCAGAGAGAACCAACCAACCACAGCTTTTCCTGAGCTTTTTTAGCACAGAGATATGTGCAACTGTATTTCTCTCATGACTTAAAATGTGTCTCGTGTCAATATACATGTTAAACAGTTAAACAAGTGTTATACCACGCTTCTACTCTGGGTTCCAAGTGTGTATCAATTCATATTCGCATTAAGTTTAAGTTCATGTTTAAATGCAACATTCATGTTTAAGTCACGATTAAAATGATGTCCCGTGTCTGAGTACACTCCTGACTGCCACTGGTGATCATTACGCAACAGCATTATGTCACCTACTGTCTTTCTCATGCATTTTTCTCCCGTGTTTGAAAGCCTTCAGTCTTGGCCTTGGGGGTTCCAGACAGTTTCCTGGCATTGTGAGAAATTTAACAGTCCAGGGATTTAAGGCACATGTTTTTGTTTAGCGACCACATACTTGCATGTGAAGAGCTTGTTTTTATGTGCTGGATGGAATTATTTTGCGAGTGAAAGACAATAGTACAGGTTTTTCTATTTTCTTCAACGTTAGCCTTGATGATGTTTATTTTGTGGCGGACTGACAAAGAGAGGCACACTGGCCATAAAACACCCACCGTCTCTTTGATTCGCTCCAAGATTTCCCCTCTCATTTGTTTGGCTATTATTGGTAACTCTGTGAAGTCAAGACAAACCATTTTTGGATTAGTGTCATGTTCCTAAGCCAGCATGCATAATGTTTGTATCACTGGAGTCAGCTCCAAATGGGGAAATACTTTTGTTACCAATAAAAAGAAGCTAACAGGTTCTCTTATCTTGGTGTGGTTTTATTCATATGTTAACTACAAAGTATCTCTTTTTAACTCTTTTTTTTTTGACAGACAAGCATTTCTTAACTAACGGGAAACCCAGGTATACTTCCTATCTGACACAGTGACAGCCACCTAACACAAATTGACTCAAACTATTTACAGTACTCGCTCACCACACTGCTGATCAAGAAGCTGAGAGCCCTTTCAAGTTGTCTGAGACTAATTATTTATAAACTTCACATTCCTCCTTGCTAAGCTACTTCATTCACAACAAAGGCCCCAATGTTTCTACTGACTGCCAAGTGGGGACTTTCTGCTACAGGAGAACTTGGATGCCGTTGCACAGAGCGCTGACAAGAGAAAGCTGTGGGTATGGACTGACAAGGGCCGAATAGAGAACGCTTTCTGTTCTGTCTCATTTCCAATGTCCGCTGTAGAATAAAACCCTGTTCTTCTATAGCAGAGCCGCTGCCCACGCAGTTCGTCAAAAACAAGGAGACAGTTAAATTTTCTTGAACCTCCCGTCGGACCTGTGGAGGCAGTCACCTCAGGCACCTCTGGGTTTCAGTGAGCTTCTCAGGCACTTTTGACCTCTTGTCTTCATTGACAGCTTGACTGATGTAAAAAAAAAAAAAAAAAAAAAAAATCAATCAGCAATTAATTTAAAGATCAATATTAACTGATTTGTTTATCCTGTTGGGTCATGTTGTGCTGTAACGGTGATGGAAGAGCCTTTAGTTATATTAAAGTAGCAATACCACAATGTAGAAATACTCGATTACAAGTCCTGTATTCAAAATGTTATTTCTTAAGTAAAAGTGCATAAGTAATAGCAGTAAGATATACTTAAAGTGTCAAACGTAAAAGGACATAAAAATGGCTCCTGTCATTTTTATATTATTACCAGGTATCACATTATATGACTGTTATTAGTCATGTATAAATATGTAAGCAGCATTTTTTGATGCAGTTGGTTGAGGTGGAGGTTATTTTAATGTATATGCTGTTGGACAAATTAACCTATGGCACTGTACTGTATTATATAAGCCCAATATAGTATGTAATAACATGATCTCCATGCTGCAAAAGAAAAGCAGGAAACAAATAATTTTAACCTTGTAAAGGCACATTTTTAAACATTAGTTGACCTGTAAAATATTCTTTTGATAAGCCCAATATTGTTGATAACATTTAATATTGCATTTTTAACTTATTAACTCACTCACTACTCAAGTAAGAATAGCTCAGAATGTTTATTACAAATATGTATCCATGCATCAAATGTGTTTTTTACAGGACTGACAGTATTCCAGCAAATTATGAGAATTTATTGTATCATTTTGATAAATTCCCTCACAATGGAGAGTTGTTTGGGTTGATTCCTCCTTTAACAGCAGACAAAGGAGAAGGAGGAGTTAGATGGGAGGCAGAGGGAGGAGTTACGACAGTTGCTCTCCCTTCCACTCAAAGTACAAAAACTGTCTGTGATACCGGCACAAAGGAGAAGTACAACTGAATGTGATGTGTGCTGAGTCAAAGCTTGTGAGGCTGTCAAAGGGAAAAAGAAACTGAGGAAAGAGAGAGAGAGAGAAGTAGATACTGAGTGAGTCAGTCAGTTAGTAAGAGAAAAAGAAGAGAAGGGGGGGACAGGAAAAAGACCCTGAGGACAAACTGTGAAACACACTCACGCTGTGACACACACAGACGGAGAGCAGGAGCTCAACTCAAGCTTGACTTCTGCTCCTGGGAAGAAGCCTGGTGGTTTGTGGTCAGGACCTTGTGAGAGGTGGAACTCTAATGACAAGTTTGCTGCTTTGGAACTGAAAAGGACAAAAACAAAGGACTGAGTTTTGACAAAGAGAAGGGATTTTGCCATCAGGGAATCTCTCTAACGGACCTGAATGTGGATATGCTATCATTCCCTTTGTGGACTCAGCAGCTCATGGTGGTTGAGGACTTCTTGAGAGAAAAGGAGACACATTTGTGGGACTGAATTATCTGAGTAAGTAAGGCTCAGCCTGCAACTTGTGGGGTGCATCCTGGTCAAGAGACAGGGCAGGGGGAGGGGAGGACGCTCCAGCCTGTATCTCTGTCCTCTGGGAGGGTTCTTTTCAACATGAGGTAACCCCCAAAATAACTACATCAAGACAGGGGAGGGAATCATTTTGACCATGTGCAGCAGTCTTCTCTAACATGGGCAGAAACCATTGTGCCGATGGCATGAATTATCAGACAACAGAGTGTCTTTCACTGTATCCTGGCTTAGGACTGTTCTGTGATATACTCTCCATTCATGCTCAATTCATTGTTCACAGCAGCCTTTTCATTATATAGCTATTACATAACAGACACCCCTCATCCCTCCACTCTTTGTCTCTCAGAATGTACAACAGCACCTTACCAACTGTCAGTTTCACCCAGCAAATCGCTAACAACTCTACCTGCATCAAGAATGATGGGTTTAAATACCCATTGTACAGTACAGTCTTTAGCATTGTGTTTGTGGTGGGACTGATCACCAACGTTGTGGCCATTTACATATTCACCTGTTCTCTGAAGCTGAGGAACGAGACCACGACCTACATGATGAACTTGGTAGTGTCTGACCTGCTGTTTGTCTTCACGCTGCCTCTGAGAGTCTTCTACTTTATCAACCAGAACTGGCCTTTTGGAAGCACACTCTGCAAGGTCTCCGTCTCTCTGTTCTACACCAACATGTACGGCAGCATTCTCTTTCTCACCTGCATTAGCGTGGATCGCTTTTTAGCCATTGTGTACCCCTTTCGCTCAAGGGCGCTTAGGACCAAGCGCAATGCCAAGATAGTGTGTATTGCTGTATGGGTGCTGGTGCTGTCAGGGAGTCTCCCCACAGGGTTCCTGTTGGAGACCACCTCACGTGGGAATAATAATACCAACGCCACGTTCTGCTTTGAGAACTTCTCCTCCAACCAGTGGAAATCTCACCTGTCCAAGGTGGTGATCTTCATAGAGACAGTAGGCTTCGTCATCCCACTTCTACTCAATGTGTGTTGCTCCATCATGGTGTTGCAGACCCTGCGTCGCCCTCAAACCATCAGTCGAGGGGGGAAGCTGAACAAAACAAAGATCCTACGTATGATAATTGTGCACCTCCTTATTTTTTGTTTTTGCTTCATCCCCTACAATGTAAACTTGGTTTTCTATGCTCTGGTCCGCACCAAAACTTTAAAAGGCTGCTTTGTGGAATCGGTGGTCCGGACGATCTACCCAATAGCCCTCTGCATTGCTGTGTCCAACTGCTGCTTTGATCCCATCGTGTACTACTTCACCTCGGACACCATCCAGAACTCAATGAAGAGGAAGCCTCAGGGCAAGCACTCGTTTGACGTCAAGTTCTCAGATGCCCTGCAGTCAGAAACCAGCTCAAACCTGCATTGCAGCCTAAGGAATCTCAAAGCTAAAGTCTTCCACAACGAGTCATCAGTGTGACAGTGGGGTTGCTACACTCAACATGAAAGGTATTAAAATACATCCTCTCATAGGAAAACAAACCTCCTTGAGACAATGGGAATGGACTTTTTTGGATTGTTTGAGTGGTTTATGAACCACCTGCCAAAGAAGTTTTATTTGATCTCAGTCTTCATCTCAGGACAAATGTTTGGACTTGTCATAGACAGCCTCTGCTCTGCAGTATTACTGCTACATGTCCATTTGTTCACATCTGTGGATTTGTTGTTACTACTTGCTAATTTCCCTTTCCTGTGGAATATACTGTAATTGTGTTACGCGCAATTACTCTGCCAGTGACCTGGAAGGGAATGTGATCACTGAACAGCAGGACAGTTATCATATTGAATGCTTCATGTGCCTGTATATCTGTACATTTCTGTGGTAATTTGTGGTGCCAATTTTATAGTAGTATCTATTAAATTAACATAAAGTTATATCAAGCTATAGATTGTACAGGGCTTTTTTAGGTCACAGAAGTGCCTTTTTTGTTCTGGCAGCATTTTGTTGTAGACTCTGTCTTCTTAGACTATTAAATGCACTGACACAGAATTCCATATACTGCACTAATGCCACAGTAATGAATAAAAGTCATGTACTGTTTAAAACAAAAAATTGCACTTGAAACCTTTTGTCATTTCACTGATCAACGATCAATCAATCTTTTGACAATGGTATATAAATCATTTAAAACGTTGAACTTGAACATTATATAATGAACCAAAACTTAAAATTAAATTATCAGTATAGTATCTTATTATTTACTATTCTAAACTTCATGAGATCACCTGACAAACTGATGTGACTTCATACCATTTAACTGCTAAACCTCATCCCTGAATATTTGTCCTGCATGCAAATGAGGAGGTAGAGAAGTGGAAGAAGAAAGGCTAATGCAGTCTGTCTGACTCTCACTGGGGAGTGCCAGCTTCCTGTGTGGCAACCAGTGGTGTGAGAGAGGAAGTCTTTATTAATGGAAATTTCATAATTCTGTGCCATAAAGATATCTACTTAAACATAACATGCATGGGTCAGTTGGTACTAGAGAGGAAATAAAGCAGTGCAGTGTATTTTGTGTTTAACTTAAGCTAGATAGGAATTCCATTTTATCATCCAGTAACAAATTGTTCTCCTCCTCCGCAAGGACATGATGTTTTTAATATAATCACTAAAAGGTTGGTCCTCTGCACCAGAACAGTAAAATCAGTGCCATTACATAGTAAATCAGGAAACTTTTGCTCAACAAATGATTACAATTCTAACAGTCGGGTTGTATAATTAAAAAAATTATTTCACATCCTAATGTGTACAAAAAAGGCATCAAATTTAAAAGAAAAATCGATTAATAAGTAAGTTGTGTTTGCAGTTTTCTAGAAAAACAGATGTGTGAAATATTTGTCCTGCTGTGGACATATTTACAAGTGATATACCATCAGTGAGGAGTCAACACAGCGTGAGAGTGAATAACAGAGAGCACATGGTGCTCCAACTTTATTGACATAGCCTGAAGGTCAGTCAGTTGCAAATTTTTCATACCCCACCTATAACTCTGGTTCTGAGGCCATGTGAACGAGTCAAGGACAGGGTTAAAGACCTGGACTGTTATGAAAACAAGTACAATTTGACACTGAAGCAGTTCACGTCATCTGCGCAGGAGGCCCTTTTAAATCTGCCACCTGGCCACATGCTTACTGAGCATCATGAACTAGAACCTGTTCAGAACTGAATCATGAAAACTCATTACAAGAAGACATTGTGTGGCTAATCATTATGTTAAACTGTATGAGTGTGTCAGGAGGTGTGTATTCAGCACATACAACCGTTATCTGACCACCGGCGGTTCATGGCAGCTGTCAGCTGGGTCAAAGGTCAGGGCAGCGACAGAGAAGGACAAACAAAGGAATTCACAACTTAAATGCAGTAAAGATATGTAAATTCCTTGATTAGCTTAACTTTTTCCCTGGAGCAAATAAATTAAGGAAGTAATGCAGTTCTCACTAAATATTTCCACTTCTCCTCAGGAAGTGAACCTTCCTCATAATAACGGATGTAAATAACTTCTAAGAGTTTCTTAATTGTTCCCATTTTACAATGAACATATTGCATAATGTCAAGAACATGAAGTTGTTTATATACTAAAGTCTTATGGTTGTATAAGCTCTCTGGATCAGGGTTCGGACCCCTCACGTGAGCCCAGCAGGCTCGATCCTCTTCATACACAACGGTTATCTAATCAGCCTGACCTCTCCTTCCCAGCAGGCTGCAGGGTGAGAAAACACAGACACCACACTGCTTGTCATCACATACATTCTGTTCTGCATTGCTCTGGTAAATTCAGATGGGAGTGTTCATTAAAGCCTTCTTGTACAGTACAAGATGAACAGAGGATCTGTGAAATTTTATTGTGTGAGTGATGGGAATAAAACAAAATTTAAACATCAAACATTAAACATTTCTACTTCTAAGGTTACAACATTCAAAGGAGGTTTGTCAGCCAATAGTTTTATCTACTAAATAAAATGTTCATAAATCAGTTACATCATATGAATTTAGTAATTCTTAACTGACTGCTGGAATCCACCTAGGGCATGCAAAACAAAAACAATGTTTTGGCTGAGAGTAGCAGTCTACATCAAGGCTAGCACAGTCAGTGCCATTCTCCTAGTCCTAGTGGAGATGAAAACAAGTCTGGATCTAGCCTTTAACTTATAGTGTTAGGTTCCTGTTCCCCTGTGGTAAATTGAGCATGTTTTCTCCAATGAATCCTTTAATAGCTGCTTTGATGTTCCGTCAGTTTCAACTGACTGGAGATCCTCTGCTGTGTTGAGAACTTGTGTCAGGGGTAATTTCTCCCGGGGCATTAACTGGGACTTCAGTAGTGTATGTGTACGCTTTCGGGGAAGAGGAGGACCGGGTAGGGGGTGAGATTGGGGTGAGGTCCTTGTCCTCAGATTAGCTCTGGATCACATGACAAGGGAAGTGCCTGTCCTACTAAATTGACCTGGGCCCCCCCAGGGGGGATGATCATCGTTTTTTTCCTACATGGCTCATAATTTTGAAGTCAAGGGACGCTATTATCCTGATAAAGGAAGTTCCCATTTACAAATTTGCACTATTTTCCCACAATTACACCAGAATCACATTCCGCATCTCTGGATTTTACAATCCCAATTTGGTTTTGGGGTAAACAGGTATTATTATCGCTCTATAAAAAAGATTGTCACCCCCTGGGGGGGGGGTCGACAACTTTCCTGACTGGGAATGAGAAGGCAATAAAAACACACAATGCGGGAGACAGAACATTGCGTTAAGTAATCATTTGTCAGGATGTGGTTTGACAAAAAAAAAAAAGCTTACTTGTGCTAGCACAACAGCCTTACTCATTGTAAAATCAGAGGCAGCACTGAACTAATAACCAGCGGTGGAAGGGGCTCAATGTCTGCAAGGAGGGAGGTAGGCTAAATAGCTGCACCAACCAGTCACATGTAATCCTCCTTAACTCCCTGTCGCCTCGGGCCATAAACAGGCCTTATCAGTTCCTGGAGGAGTTATTTGCCCAGATCAGCTCTTGGTTGTATAACGTCTTAGGAATGAAACAGAAAGTATAAGCAGAATATTGATTAAACACTCCCTTCATCAGGGTGCTGTGGTGTTTATAAAAACATGCGGCAAGTGTCCAGTCCGTTAAGAACTTGTGTCATATAAATAAATAAATATATATATTACTAAATTTGACAAAGCGTGTGCACAATGTTATTGTTCTTTTTATCGACAGGATGAGTCTTCACCCTAAGGCAAGAGCCTGTCTGTGCCTGAAAATGGCAGTTGGAGCGTGTGTGGCATTGGTATAGGGGCCAAGAACTTCCTGTGAAATTGGTTAGATCTGACAGAGGATAATTCATGTAAAAAAGAAAAGAAAAGTAATGCCTGTTTTGGTATGAATCACAGATAAAGGAGTTTACCATCATTCACCTTGTGTTGTTGAGCATGAGGACGTCATTAAAAGTGTTGAAACGCCTCAAAAGTGCATCCATGGTTTCATATAAAACCAAGAAGCCACAAGTTACATCATGTAATGGGACTTCAGTAAGAGGGTTTAACAGTTATGACTAAATCATCCAGTAAATACATCCGGGAATTCCCATACACATATTTTTAGGTTGACTTTGATTTATTTCCCCCTATCTGTTAAAGTGCTGTACACTGCAATATGTCTCTACCCCCAATACATACACATTAGATACAACAGTACATCAAATCTTCTGCCTTTGCTTCAGACTGAGAGTTTCAGGCTGACTGAACATGGTATTACAGTCTGTTGGAGAAAAAAAACGTTATGATTAGGTGTGTTCTGCTTGATGGGACAGGTTGGGCTTTCCTTAGCTCGGAGTCCTTCCTCTGGAAACTCCTGGGGATTTAAACAATGTCTGACCAGCCAATGTGAACACATTAATCCTCTCCTGTAGCTACAGCTTCAAACCAGAGAGGACAGCCCACTGGTGCGACTGACAGTCTCATGACAGAAAGGAGAGGTCACTGGGTCAAATCCCACAGCAATCAAATGTCCAGCATGTGGCTGTCAAAGCACCCTTATAGCAAATATATTATAAAAACTGCCAAAAATGTGGTAGAATTTACTTTTAGAAAGTGTCATATTTTTATACAATAAACTGCATATAACATTAGGTATATACCAGTATATTCTATTCAAGTAGTTTCATCATAAATACTTCAACTGATCATGTAAAATAACAATGTGAAAACAGGAATAAGTAGAGCAAAGTAGAGTTGTTCTTTATTAGTCAGTATTTTATTAAATTAGTTAATAAACCAATTCATCAATGAATGCAATTATTTGTATTAGTAGTATTACATTAATAACATGTTTATGTACTTTGGACAAATTTAGAGGGGCACTGTCACATTTTTTATTACCTGCTGGCTATTACTGCAGCTCTTGAGCAATACTGAATCCTTATCTAGGTGTTTATTGTACATAGCTGTGGATAAGTGTAAAATAAATACCTCAAACGTCAGTCAACCTAAAGAACTGATCAGGAAAAACTTGGAATGGGTGGAATACACCTATCAAATTGTACACAGCGTCTCCACTAAGCACATGGCAGGATTACTGATACCCGGGCCCCACTAATACTACAGCACAGGCTCATAAACAAATGCCCACAGCACACTGCACAGCACAACCACACATAAAAGCTGACGCTTACAGGTCGGCCTTGAGGTCAGCATGTTCCCCATGAGGAATTTCCATAGAGCCTCTCAGACCACACAATACTTTCCCTCTCTTCTTTGGGAGAATTCTTCCTCCTTTAACCACAGCAATTCGCTATTTCATTTCAAAGTGAGGTTAATCCTCATCTGCTCAACCTACACAAAAGCCAAAGCTCTTCCGTAAGATTGAATCATATTTATTGTTTACCACAAGTTCCTGTTTTTAACAAAAACAAAATGTCATGTTCCTTACGACCACCACATCCCTTTGAAGCAGGCTCCCGGAGAGACACCTAATTTATTGACACTCTGGCCTCAGGATGGGAAGGACATGGCTCATTGATACCCCGGGGTTATCTGCATCCAAAAAGACAACGCACAAC